CCCCAAAACCCCAAAACCCCAGAATTCACAAGATTAAAATAATTTTGGAAACAAATTTATGAAATCAAGATTTTTTATAAATGTCGATTGATATATCATATTTTTTGTGTATTTAATGATATCTTGACAAAAATCTCTGGTTCAACATCAACAGAGATTGGTATCTTTCTTTCATAAAGTGACTTGTCTTTAAATTCCATGTTGAAGTTTGCAATTACTATTGGGCAAATAGTTTTTATAACGCTTTCAGCAAATGTTTTCCCAATGCATACTCTCAATCCTCCAAAGAAAGTAATGAACGAAGTGGATTTTCTTTTTTTGCCATCAGGAGTCAAGAAATATTTAGATTCAGTGTCAAATCTTTCTGGGATAAATTTTTCTGGCTCTATCCATGTTTTAGGATCATTAGCAAGGCCCCATATATTAAAGGCAAGCGGTTATCCTTTTTTTATTTTATAGCCCTTTAGTTCAAGATCTTCTGATAACTCATATCTTGAGGTTAGCCTTAGTGGAGGTTCTATTCTGAGGGCTTCTAAAACAACTTTTTGAATATATGTTGACTCTGCAGCCATCTTATCATAGTTAAATTACTTTATCCACATCTCAGTAGTTACCTAAATATATGATACAAATAAAATTACCTCAGAGATATCATTGAAAGGAAAATTTTGAGTGACTTCTGATCTCAGTTTTTAAAGTATTTGACCTTCTTTGTAAATATAAATAAGAGTATTATTAATGGCTGTCAATGTTGTCTGAGTTGCAGCAAGCATAAAAACACAGCACTCATCTAATATGTCTTCATCTTTCCCTTCATAAAGATCATCAGTCAAAAGAATATCTAAGAAGTCATGGATCTAATAGTCTTTTGATAGCTTGATTCTATTTTTTCTTTCTTAGATAACATTTTTTAAGAACTGTCTGAAAATTTCAGCATTCTTCTTATAATCTCTTTCTGATTAACCAATAAAAAAGGAATTTAAAGTTGAAAAGCAAAGTCTATGCACTTTTATCATTCTCATAAACATATTTACTGTTACCTTCTTCAGAAACATTGCTACAGATAATTATTAAATACTCCCATTCTCATGATATCCTAATTCTTATTTTGCACAGTCAATTCCAAAGACACAGACTTAAATATTATACATGACGAGGTCACCAACCCATTGAATAAGATTTAGCTCATCCTTTTACTTTTTCAAGTCTTCTTTTATATCATTTACTCTGTCGAAAGTTATTCTGATAACATCTTCAAGCTATTTTGTGAGTCTATCCTTGTAAAAGGCAGCAGAAACATGTTTTCTTCTTACTGCTAGAGAAGGATCTTTAGTTTGCATCGAGATAACCCCTTTTTTACCTATTAAACTTTAATACAATGGTTTCATTGGCTCCCATTTTTCCACATATTTGGCTTTAGCACCAGTGAAGAGCTCTAAAACAATTTCAGGGTCATTGATAATTAGTGCTCCAGTTGGTATCTTCATATCATATATTATTGGAGGCATATTATCTCCGAAACGGGATTTAAAGTACTCTAATGTAGGGTGCTCATTTTGTAAAGTTCTTCCTCTAAGAGACATTGCGAATTTGTGAAGCGCCCCAATTATTGGTAAAGGAAAATCTGTTGCCTTAATTCCTTGGCTAGTATAGTACCAATAGTTGTAGTAAAGTTTTATTACCTTTTCCCAAACTATATATCCGAATACTAGTAGAATGAATGTTTGCAGGATCATTTAATTTTAGCTTATGTAATTAATATAAATTTTCCTTGCAGAAATCTTGATTTATATACAATTTTAATTAAATTTAATTTACTCATCCTCCTGCTTGAAAAAATAATGATTTTTAGCTTACTGGGGTTTTGGGGTTTTGGGGTTTTGGGG